TTAGACAGTATACAGTCTAGCAGCTAAAGAGTGGGTGATAACAATCTTGCGAATGGCAACTATCTTTAAAATGGCCTCAACTCCCAACTCCACTTCTGTGGCTGGAGTCCATCTCTATTACATACTGATCTAATGCATCATATTGGTGCTTAATTAGTAAGTGCTCTTCATCTGATGGCACAGCACAGGAAATAAAATGCCTAGGATAAAACCCCTATAAGAATAGAAAGTACATTGGGAAGAGTAATTTTGCCACAGCTGCCACCAACACAGGACAGAAAAGCAAGGGAAGCAACTATGTCACCCACATGCTTGTTTTGGTGAATAGTTTAGTCATTTCATTGTCAATTCCCATATAATATAATTAATGAAATGACATGGAAGGAGCAACTACTGGATGGCTTTGAGAATTTTTAATGGTACTCAAAGCCCTTTATCTGTAGGTTAGTTCAAATATAGCTCCGGAAGACAGGGGCTAAGAATTATTTCCATCTGTTCGGTGTTCTATACTGTAATCTCAGTGCAGTTTTACAATGGATAAGCAGCCGCATATGAAAACCACCATAATAAAAGGCACTAAACAGCACCCTTGCTAGGAGAGGCCAATGCTTACATGGGTTAGAAGAATAAGCCACCTTCTTACTCCAAGGTGTGGTGTAGGGAGCCTGCCACTTCCGTTACTGTAGCAATGTTTTATCTGGCCAGTGGGTAATACAGGACTTCAGTCTTCAAGGCTGCTAGCTCGGCAGCTAACTAGTATACTAAATTCACTTCAATTTTAAAATAATTAATAAAAGGCGTATCAAATAACTCACCACCTGGGATTTGAATATAATTTTCTGAGCTCCATTCACTCCATTCTCCATGGTCTGGTTTGCAGTGTACCTGTGCAATGTATTTCTTTCCTGGGTTTAAACTAAACAACTTGTATTGTGTTTGTTGTCCCACAATAATTGTCTGAAGAATAAAGAACACAAAACTCATAAAAATTAAGAACATAAGAACAGCCATAGTGGGCCAGATCAATGGTCCATCCAGTCAATATTCTGTCTTCTGACAGTGGCCCATGCCAGATGATTCAGAGGGAATGAACACAAAAGGTAATTATTGAACAATTCAGTCTCTGTTATCCAATGCCAGTATTTGGTACTTAGAGGCTTAGGGACATCCAGAGCATGGGGTTGCATTCCTGAAGTCTTTTGATATAAAAAGTTTAGGCTAGTTAGAAAGTTAACAGAGTAATGGGACTGTAAAATGAACAATACTGATAATAGATAGCAATGTAAGAATTTGCAATATGGAAACAGAATACTAGTCCATCTATTAGATAGATATTTCTCAGTTTCTAATATAATGTGGTAAGAAAGTGTTTTAGCTTTTGTGCAATGTATAAGTGAAATTATTATGGAAACACTCCAGGGTGGATCTCCTTTTCTGCCAACAGCTATTTATTTATGATGCAAAATCCAAGGAAGGATCTAGCAGATGATGAAGGTGGCAGGGAAGAGGATGTTCTCTAGTGATGCAGAGAACTCAGTTAAAAATAGTTAATTCTGAACTGTGAATTTTGAAAACGTGAAACTTAAAAGGCTGGGAGCAGGGCCAGCTAGATCCCTTTTGGCGCCCTGGGTCCAGGTGCGCGGTGCTGCTCCCGGGCGCAGGGCGCATGTGTGGGCCTGCCCGTGGGGCGCGGGCCCGCCCCTGGGGCACTCGGCGCATGCACGGGCCGGTCACGGCCGCTGGTGCGCAGCCCGGGGCCCACCCCTGGGGCGCATGCGCTGCCCAGCCAGCCTGCTGGGGTGTGCAGGGCCCCAAAGCCGTGGGGACAAGGGGCGCGCCCCCAGCCATGCTTGGCCCCACAGCCGTGGGGGGAAGGGTGCTGCTGGCCGGCACCGCAGTCATGTGGGCGGGCCGGCGCTGCAGGAGCATCAGGCACCCCCCGGCCCATTGGTTGGCGCCCAGGGCAGCTGCCCGGCTCGCCCATGACTCTGTCCGGCCCTGGCTGGGAGGATACTGAAAAGTGCAACACAAGCCAACAAACACTATGTCCACACTGCTTTCCTCTTCTGCAAAAGCCTATGCTAATTAAATGCAGCTTAGCATATTACCATACTTCATTTGCATAATTAATTAGGAGTCGCTTTGCACAAGTTGTGCAAAAAACCCCTTGTGCAAAAGTGCCTCCTAATTAATTATGCAAATGAAGCACAGCAATATGCTAATCCGCGCTTCATTTGCATAGGTTTTTGCAGAAGAGGGAAGCAGTGGAGACAGGGCATTTTGGAGGAGCAATAGCTGACAGAGCACCAGAGATGAGCTCTCAGCCAAACTCTAGTGAATAGTGAAGGCACCCAAACAAAATGTCCCCAGATTTGAGTACAGAAACAGGTAAAGGCTTGTGAATGCATTGTCATTATTTAGCCTGTCAGTAGACTCTAATGTTTACTTGCATGGATGGAAATAGTTCCAGATAATTTTACCACAGATTGTTACTGAGGTTTCTGTTAGTAATTTTCTGTTCTGGTTTAGAATAGATTATCACAGTGAACAACATTTAAACCAACATCTAGAACATGGTTAAATTAGGAACTGACAATTTAAAGAGTGTGATGATAATATAGTTAAAACTGAGTCAAATATTTTTGCGATTGCTTACCACACAGAGGAATCAGATATACCACTTTATTTTCTATGGAGACACAGGAAAACACTGCAGTCTCTCATACAGCATGGTAGGGCAACTTTTGGTAATGGTGAATTTTTGATGGTGACTAGTGTGTTACATTCATGGATATAATAAACAACAAGGGACCAGTTAGCAAAATCTGACAATGTTCTCCTTACCTCCCACTCTTCCCCATCTTCAGGTTTTAGTCGCAACCTGTATTCAAGAGTAAGCCACCCAGATTTGACATCAGCCAATGGAGGTGGATTCCATTTCAACAACAGATAAGGTTTTCCATCTACTTGTTTCTTTACTTCTAGAGATAGGTTGACAGGAGGGTCTGGCTGAACTGTAAAAATGAGAGATCAGAAATGAAACATTTGAATCACCTTTGCTTTGCACACTGGAAAGTTTTTTACACTTCTGCAGAATGAGTGTAAAAGCTATCAATTGGTGTAAGAAAAGAGAGTAGAGAATTCTAAACTGTGAGTGTTTTATATTCAGCTGTTAATTGCAACTGTCATTCTGGTACGGTGACAAAGGGGATTAATAATCTTAGCAATACTCAGTAGGATGAATGCACAAATTTGAAGCAATCAGAGTAGTTTATACATGGGTTCATTTTGAGATTGAATATCATTTATAGACTGATAACAATTGAAATTGACAATTATTTTTGCCACATTATTGTTTGCAGTGTTACTCTTAGCTCTCTCTTTCTCATAGACTTGAAGAGACAGCATACCAGTGGGAGTAAAATACAGTAAAGTCTTTTGTCATGAAAGTCAGCAGATATATCTCTGAATGCACAAAAGTAGCAAATTTCAGTGATTATGTAGATAACATTTTACATAGTCAAATATCTTACATACAATTCTGAAAACAGAAAAGCTCAGTCTTCATGTACATATGCAGTATTTAAAGTTGTCCAGTATCAACCTTAAGACATTGTCTACACCAGAAAGAATTGAATCCAGATTTCAGCAACAATCTGTAGCATTTCATCTGCATCATTTAAACTGCTAACGTAGACAGATTCTGGCATTTTTAACAATATGTCAGAAAACCTTGCACTGAGTAAGTACCCCTATTGGCAAACTGGTACTACATTTTTCTAGCAATGATGTACTCTTAAACACTTTTCCAGGAAAGAAATGTAATACTTGCCCTCTTAGGCAAAAATCTGAAAAGAAAATGATTCTCCCACCATGACCCAAAGAGGAACTGATATATCCAATATTTTAAATGCTTTTCCCAATGAAAACAATTTGCAATAATTGACGTGAAATTGCAAATTATTTTCATCAACTCAAATCTGCATTTTTTGGTGAACAAAGGGGTTAATTTGAAACATTTCATCCAGCTCTAAAAATAACATCAATTAAAATCAATGCAGTTTTGAAAATATGTCATTTCTGCACAGTAGTAGGAAGCTATGTGTATTTTTCAGCAGTTTTACTTTAGATGCCACATTGCGTGGGTATATAGTTTTTACACATAATCTTGTTCCTGAACACTGGAACTGAAATTGCGTGCACTTTGGATTAGTTCACCTCTGGCACCACTGTTTAAAAAAGTCTTGATGTCTTACCTATGTAAGTCACATCCACATATTGAGGCTCAGAGATGTTACTTCCCATCTTGTTAGTTGCCTTTATAGTGATATTATAAATTGCCCAAAGAGAGGTGTGCTTTTTATCAAAGTAACAGGAATTGGGGCCTGCTGTTCTGTAATCTGGACATTCATTGATTGATCTGTCTCTGAAATTGAAGAAATGTAGTGATCAGGAACATACAGAATAAAGCACATGAATTTTTTTACTATTACTACTACTTACTTAGGACTGTCTGTCACCCACTTATGGTTTGGGGCCCTGGAAAAAGGCATAAAATGCTGATCCAGCTCAGGTGAACAATAAGGCAGGATACATCCCCAGCATGCAAGACCCTGAGATGATCTGCACACCATGGCACTCAAAGGGTGTGGTCTTCTAGCTGTGTGTCACGTGTTCAGCTGGGTAAATGGTGCAATGGGTTAGCTGATTTTCTTTCAGAATAGCAGCAAAGTGAGTCCCATTGCATGCTAACTGCCTCTGCCAAGTGCCAGATACTAGGTGGCCTTGGAAAAATCTTTTAACTATCCTACTAAATACTGAATAAATCAAACATTAATTTCCCTCCCAAAATTCATTTTGTACCTCTGATATACCGTCAACATCTATTTTGTGTATCCCCATACCCAAAACTTATTCTGGATTTTTTACCCTTTGCCCTTCAAAAATCCAGTTTGTACAATTCTCCATGTCCCCAGTAACTCACTTATCACTATTATCAAATTGAGGGTATGTCTACACTAGAGCTGGAAACAGGGCTGCTGGAACAATTTGTATGGTTGGGGTGCTGAAAGCCATTGAACCAAACTGTAAACCCTGTATGTGATGGGAACCATTTCAAGCCAGGAGGTGCAGCAGCACCCCTCGACCCTGCACTTATGGCTGGAAGGTATGAATTCCAACTCCAATAGATATACCTGTGTTTAGCTAGCATGCTAAAAATAGACATGTAGCCACAGCAGTGCAAGCAGTGGGAGGAGCAAGCTATCCCACTTGTGTACCTGAATTATTGCTGGGATCACACTTGGGGCAACTAGCTCCTTCTACTCCTTGTGCCACCATGGATTTACTTCTATTTTTAGTACAGTGGTTTTGAATCTATGGGTCGCGACCCAGTTCTGGGTCATGGAATGTCAGGCACTGGGTCTCATTGCTGCAGGTTGATCAGGTGACCAGTGTGGGTGTTAAGACAGGCTATCTTCTTGTCCTGGTATCACAAATTGCACTGAGCCCCAGAAGCAGCCAGCCACAGGCCTGGCTCCTAGGTGTGTGGAGGGAGACTGCACAAAGCTACACACACTGTCCTTGCCTTTAGCACTAGTTCCACACTCACATTGGCTGGGAACCTGTTGCTGGCTGCTTCTGGGGCACATCATGGTCTGCAGTGCCAGGAGAGGCAGGAAGCATGTTTTAGCACACCCACTGAACTGCTGACTGGGAGCTGCTCAAGGTGAACCCCTCCTGCCTCAACCCTGACAACCCCAAAACCAGAGTCCTCTCCTATACTTCAAAGCGCTCATCCTCAGCCGCAGAGCCCACACTCTAGTCAAATTATGTTGGGTCATGGACATCAACAATTTTCTTCAATTGGGTTATGAGAAAAAAAAAAGTTTGAAAACAACTTCTTTAGTATACTGTCCCAATCAGAGCTTGCATGAGTATGTCTCCTCAAGCTGGAATTTACCCCTTCCATCTTGAGGAGACATATCCTCAAATTAGATAGATATATCCAAATTAGATAGATATATCCAAATTAGATAGATATATCCAAATTAGGGATAGAGGAGGAAGTCCTTGACTGTGGGAAATGGGCTAGTCTCCCATCTCCCTTGAAGAAACAGGAAGATAAGACAAAATGATGAGCCTACCGGCTTCATGCTTTGTTTCTCACCACTTTAACTTGTGTCTGCACACTTCCCGAATGAGCCTCAACCTGAGTAATGCTGGGACAAGCCAAAAGTAGCTTGCTCCCAAGAACTAAACAAAAACACTGAATTTTTTTTATTCATAATTTTTTGGAGACTGACTTCGGTTCCAGACACTTGTACCCCCAGAATGCCCTTACCATTGTCACATTTTGTATGGATCTACCCTACTATTGTCTATAGATCTCTGTGTGAAAGGTTTGATGTAAAGAGTATAATTTTAAAAACAGGTAATTTTGGGTGGCCTTCTGTTTCAGAAGCCTTTGACTAAAAGACCCAAAATTTGTACCACAAACTGTATCTTGAGCCTTGTAATGGAATAACATTTTTTAAGAAAATCTGGCTAAGACTGTCAGTATGTCCCAGAAAGACAAGATGGATGTGGTAATATCTTTTATTGGACCGACTTCTGTTAGTGAGAAAGACAAGCTTTTGAGCTTACACAGGGTCCTCTTTCTCTCTCCAACAGAAGTTCATCAAATAGAAGGAATCTCCTCACCCATCTCATCTTTCTGATATGCTGGGACAACCTCAGCTATAACAATAATGCATAGAGTATTTCAGAGCAGTTTGAAAAAGTGGTTTTAAACAGAAACTTCACAGCAATCTCAATTATGAAGTTGTTACTGCTGCTTCTCAATACAATTCATTTTTACAAAAATCTTAAAGTACTTTTTACTCTCCCAATAATTAACTACAACTTAAGAACAAATGAGAACTCAGATTGTATAAACTTATACAAAAAGCTCTGCAAATCTGTGGCTATCCGCTTTATATCTGCAGGTATCCGCATCTACAGATGTCCATGTAGTTATGCGTGGCTCATTTTTAAGGATAAAAATGTGGATAAAGATACAAATTTTGTATCTGCGCAGGGTTCTACTTATATAAGGTAAAATAAGAAGCCACAGTTTCTTACCCTTCCTTGCTGTAGAAGAGAGTGTAATTGGTAGGAAGTCCTCCATCTGAGCCAGGCTTCCACCAGCAAGTAAAAGTTTCCTTTTCTGGAGAACGACACCTCAGTAGCTCAGGCCTTCCAGGGGGCTGGCCTGTGAAATTGCATAAATTATCTAGTTAATAAACATAACTGATTCTCAGTACACTGAATAAAACCAATCCTGAATGTATAAATTAATGACAGGTAGAGAGCAGTCAGACTTGGGTATATTTATATACAAGAAAAAAAAGTTTTCATTTCTATATCAGTAGAGAAGGAGATAGTCCAATGGTTAGCACACTAAACTAGGACTTAGGAAATCTGGGTTGAAGTCTGTGCTGTGACAGACTTTAAAGAATGGGCACTACAAAGAAATAAGGTTGATATCCTGACCAATTGAGGTCAATATCAAATCTCCCTTCAATGAGACCAAAATTTCTCCAGGACTTGGTGTGTGACTTTGGGCAAGTTACTCTATGCCTCAGTTTCCTGCATGTAAATATGGGAACAACAAGCACTGTCCAACATCACAGGGATGCTGTGAGGATAAATACATTAAAATTGTAAGGTACTTAGATACTGGGGTAATATGAGCCATATAATTTTCTAAGTAGATACATTGTAAATATGTCTATATTCAAATTATTCCATAAAAAACACTTTTAAAAAGTGTCCTTCAATTCTCTAGTCATCATCCCAAAACTCTGTGATAACAAAAAGAAATCAGCCACCAATGTAGCTGATGAAGCTGCATTTTCCTTCCTAGTAAAAACAACAAGGAGTATTATTTTAGAGCTCCAATAACCTAATAAATTTGTTAGTTTTTAAAGTGCCATCGGACTCCTTGTTGTTTAGCTGCAACAGACTAACACAG